CGCGAAAATGAAAGAAACTTACTTTTGAAGTAAAATATAGGAAAGAAAAACATGCAACCGATGGTTTGAAAATGCCAAAGGGGAAGCTCAAAAGACGGACTCTTTTTGCAAACGCCCTTAACAGGGCTTGATGAAAGGACGAAGAGAAGAAGGCTCAGGAATAGCAAATTCTGGCATTGCCACGCCTTAGAACCCAGACCATGTACATCATCCGACTGACAGATGACCGAATCTACTGTAAAAAACGTCCTAAAGCTACTGCCACTGCAATTCGAGAAGAGAAGTGAACTGAAAAAATCAACAAACGGAGTTTATAACCGCTTTAATGTTAGTATCCATTTAATCTACACACTTGCTTACATGCACAAGTGGGATATGTAGTATTTTTCAACATATGAACATATGGGGAGGTGTTGATCTCAGCGTCCTGAAAAAAAGCACGTAGCTACCAATGCATGTATGTGAATAAGAATCAGAAAAATACAATCATTCATAACAGATAAGTACAGATTTTCACATTTACTCACCCGTCTGCATCATACAATTTAAAAACAAATATCTTGTTTCACACTTGAGTACAATCCCTCATCGCCATATTCAAAAACGGCTTTAATCCGTATTGTCAAAGCTGAACAATCTTTACATTGCTTCTTACCAGTAATATTAAGAATGCTAACTGCTGTACATTGATAATTTGTGTCTATATGATACGGTCTGCGGATGTAAGTGTCACCCAGCATATCGTACAAACTCTTAATAATCTGATCATGAGGAGTAAACTAGTGCGGGGTACATATGTCGTTGCTCGCTTCTGACAAGTCACCCCTGTTCGCCGCTATGACACAAGCACAGTATCCCATTGTAAGGCGACATCTGCAATTAGGTAGCCACTAAAACTCATAAACGTAGGGTGGTTTCCAAAATGAGGAATTCACTTATCTGCTCCAGAAGGATAATATTAATGGATATGACTCGATGCAAACAGCTGCAAACCGTTTCACTTCCTATCAAATTCTTGCAGCAACTGTTTACCAACTGACAAGTAAACACAGTCTGGCCTAACCAAGCATACCGTATCATTCCGTAAAAAAATCAGACAGTTTTCTCGCTTCGCAATACAACAAAATCTCCAATAACTTTCCCAATAGGGAAACGTATGAATGAAGATATCAGAAAACAGAGAATCAAGCAATGCCTTACTTTCGTAGCACAAACGAAACATGAGGTAACCAACTTTGCGATTTCATTCATAAGGTCTTTGGTTTCTTGAATGACGCTGTCCACCTGGAACAACGACAGTGATAAGAAAGCAAGTCCGTGAGATAGGTAAACAAAAGTACCTTGTTGAAGGTCGCTGACTTGCCGACGGTCGGAGTCTTTACGAGAACCTGAAGCTGTTGACAATGGCCAGGAATTCGTTCAAGCACTTGGATCAGTTCGTTCTTCTCCGCACTACCAGGTACCTGAGAATATAAGCTTTAAGTTTACGTTCGAGTATTCACTTATGATCTGCCATCACTCACCTCATAGCTGAATTCGCGTACTGTTTTGTACATCTTGTTCGCTTCCTCAGCGAAAAATTCAGCCTGCGTGAACAGGTCGTGCGTGGTCTTCAGGGGCCCGTCGCCTCGCGTGAACAAATACATGTTATAGGCCATCGAAGACATGCTCTTCGCTCTCTTTACGATGTCATTTTCCGCGTACTCGTCCCACTTCTCTGCTTCGGCGTCAACCTC